ATGTAAATCATGTTGTATTATGTAACTTCATTGTGCAGATAATTAATGTCTACAATCAACAATATGAGAGTGCTGCTGCATTTTGGCCACATGTTCATAGCCGCATAATTGCAAGCTTAGTAATATCTCAGCTTCTGCTTATGGGACTGCTTAGTACAAAAGAGGCTGCTAATTCCACTCCTCTGCTTGTTGTCTTGCCTGTATTGACATTATCCTTCCATAAGTACTGCAAACATCGTTTTGAGCCTGCATTCAGAAAGTACCCACTTGAGGTAAGCATTTCATGCTTTGCAAATAGCTAAAGGAATAGAAGAAGGTTCTTTCATTAATTTGTGGTTCAGAGATTGATGAAAGTATATTACCTGTTGTTTGTTCCTCAGGAAGCAATGGTGAAAGATATAATGGACCGCACCACAGAACCTGAACAAGACTTAAAAGCTTACCTTGCTGATGCTTACTTGCACCCTATTTTCCAAACATTTGAAGTGGAGGAAGAGGAGATGGCACAGGTTAGAGCCGTCAGAGTTGATAAAAACCAATCCCAGGCCAATGCCCCAACTAGTGATACCAGTTCCTCATCCCCACCACATCAAGTTGATCATCCTACCTCCCCACCTGATCACCATACATCTCACCCAACTTCCCCACCACAATATCAATACCCCTCCGGTTCCCCACCGCAGTACACCTCTGGTTCCACCTTCCCGAACTACTAATCCTACCATTATGAAGCATAGCCTTGAACATAAATAGAGCTAATATCCGTAGGTGAAGTCCTAACCCATTTGTTTAGTTTTTATTTTCTTAGAAACTTAATGTAATTATTCTCTTGTTAAGATGACAGTGTTTGTGACTTGGGCTTCTTTTAAAAACTATGGTTGAAGTTTTTAGTCTGAATTATGAGCGCTACTCCAGTCTCGACCAATTTAAGATCTTACTGGCCCAAAAAAAAAAAAGAGGGAGGTTAAAGGTTTCTCTTCCTTCTTTCAAAACTGGATTGTAATTATTCCTTTACAATTACATCTTTACATTTTATCAATTCAAAAGTATAATTTTTTATATTAACATAATTGTTAATTGAAAGATTGCTCTTTTATATTTACCAAGATTGATGATTTGGCGTTTATTTACTCATTTAATTATGTGAAAAGATGTAGAAATATATTGTGTGGCTTAAATTATGTTATATTTTACAATTATAATTATCTGATGAGAAAAATCCTTTAAATGTGGGGTAATCACCCCATCAAAGGTCTAAATTTTGTGGTTCAAATTGCAAGATTTGTTACTCTGTGCACTCTACGAGGATATCACCAGAAAAGAAAAAGAGCAATTTGTTACTCTCTGCACTCTATGAGGATATCACCAGAAAAGAAAAAGAAAGAACAATAAACATGTTCCGACTGAATCATTTTGGTTTTTATTATTTGGGATGAAGTGCACCACACTCAAGTCACAGATGTCTTCAGTCCAGTTATTATTCTACAACAGATTTTTATGGTTTTTTCACAATTATAAAAAATTACATATCATAT